CTCCCAGTCGGCATGTCCGTAATGCCAAGTTTTGCGGCCTGTGCGAGTTTCTGCGGCCACAGCGGCTTCTGACCGAAACCTAACCTCCACAACACCGTGATCTGAGTTACCCAGGGGGGACAGGACGGCAGTGCTGTAAGGGGCAGGATGCGTGGTCAGAAAGAGATCCAGCAGGCTACTGGCGTGTGACGAGACGCGGGGGAAAAAAGTAGGGCTCGTCACCAGCTGGGTCAGCCCTTGAGTAAGAGCGAACGCTTCCACTGCACGACCTGCTGCATCGGTCTTATTTGAGCCCAACCAAAGCTCATTATGGGCATTGAAATCACCGAAAGAACTACCTCTGAAGCGGGGTGATTGATGTTCAGGAAGTCGATCTGGACGGCGAGGTATTCGAGTAGGTCATCCCAGTTATGGTTCGAAGGAGAGCGATAAAGGCAGCAAATAAATTTGGGTGATGTTTTGGAGTTGAGGCGAAGCCACAGAATGTCCTTCCGGTCTGATTCCAAAGAAAGATCCCTGGAGCAGGAAAGACTGCTGCGGACAAAAGCCACAACTCCCCCGTTCTTTCTCAGATTGGAGTGCACCTCGTAGTTTGGGAAGTTGAGATGGTTAATCGGTGCAGCCTCTGAGATTTTTGTCTCCGCCAAGAAAAGCACGACGGGACGATTGGATTGCAGGTAGTGATGAACAGCATCAATGTTGCTGTTGATCCCGCAGATGTTCGAAAAACAAATTTTATCTTCGATGTTGTTCCCTCGAGCCCACCCTCCACCCGGACATTCCGAGAGTGGAGTGAGTTTACGTCCGGAGTTTTTAGTGCTCGAGGGATCCATCATCATTAATTTCTTTGTTTTGGTAGATAACCGACTGCATAGCTTAGGTGTGGAAACATGCGGACATTTATAAGACACCCTGGGAAAAGCTAGCGGGTGGTACTGCCTCGGTTGACTGGTCCTTGTCTACCACCTTCTTTTTACGTATTAGTGATGTTAAATAGACCTAAAGTGGCCCGTTGGCGGACTTGTACCACCACCCGGCAATCGGTACTGAGGTATTCCTTAACGCGTGCGCAATCACTTGGACGGGAAGAAGTTGTATACTGGATACAACGACTTCCGGAACAAGCATTTGCCACGGCCCTCGCTCAGTAGGGGCGTTGCAGTGTATAATAGAATTTGTTACCTTTACTTCTCCTCATTTGTAAGTGTAAGGAAAAGTGATGCACAATAAGTAACCTGAAGAAAAATTATACCATTGTAGACTTACCTTTCAGTTCGCGTATTCCATTCCATTATCCAGCGTTGATGTTCCTATAGTTCCATGGTATTCACTATATTGTTCTGTCCTTGGTTGTTCGATAACAGTTCTCACGTTCTGGATGATTTCATTTGACACTACGCTTCATAAGCCCTGAGTCAACCTACTTCACGCCATCTTTCCGTCTGGACCACTTACAAATTCGAACCGGTATTTTTAATTTCCGCCGAAACCGTCGCCATTATTCTTTCCCTGCCACGTATCCGCTTGGGCCTATCTTGACGCCTTGACGCCCGGCTTCGAGAAAATTCCTATTTAAATTGCCGCCACACCGCAAACGGAGCTTTTTTTTGTTCCGCTCAAAGTTGGGAAAACTCACTTTGTACTTAACAGCGATTTGTGCTGTAAGGAAACGGTCTGCTTTTTATTTTAAGTCATTACCAAAGTTTTTGCGATACGCTGCACGCTATCTTTGGGGAAAGACAAAGAGGCCCGGTTAGGCTTGGGCTTTCCTCGACCAACGATTCGGAGTTGTGACGGCTTTTGGTAAAGTATACCGACGCCAGAGAACTAAAATCACTGGACGTTCGTATTCAGACTTCTTATAGCCCTTTGCGGCCAGTGTAATCTTTTTATCATGAAATCGCTCATTTGTCTCCAAAATTGCCTAGTTTGAGGGCCGAATCGCCAGTCGTTCCTACAATTATAGAATGCCTTTATGGCCTCCTTGATTTTCATAGTTTTCTACTTTTCCGTGTCAGCGATCTATTTTGAGGTTATGTCATAAATATCCATTTGGTGGGGGAGGGATTAGGCAGCGGCATACGCATTGCAAGGAAGGTGTTGCGCTAACCGTAGCACCCTGTGAATAGAAATGACCCGGGAGGTGGTGGCATTGAGTATACCTTCATCGCGGATTCGACTAAATTTATTAATTATATGTAGTTTTTAAGTAAATGAACAAGAACAGCTCACCAAGACAATTCTGTAGCGCGGTATATGCGACGTTCTCCTTCATTCTTCCCGTAATCCAAAGGTACAAATCACTACAAGCACTCACAAGCACTTATTCCACAAGCCACTAGCACATTTTCCTATGTACGACATAGCTTTACCCCTGAAAACACTGAAATTAGTGCTGCCGAAGAGCCTGTGTAAGAAGCCTGCGGTATCTCTGATATTTTCGTTCATTCTTCCCGTAATCAAAGGTGCAAACCACTACAAACACTTAGTCTGCATGCCACGAACATGAAAACGTTGAAAATAACGCTCCCGAAAAGTCAGCTTAGGGCGCCCGCGAAGACTGTTGAAAACAATTGCAACATTGCATACCAGACGACAGACGTTTTTCTAGGATTTGTAGTTGGCCGGGGTCCGAGCTCAGTTCTGAGAATTCTTCCAAACCTGAAGTATTAACAAGGGCAATTTTATTTATTTTAATTATTAATATACGTGTGATATCACTGGTCCCTACTGCAGTTACATAAATATGATGGCCAAAATATAGATAAATCCTATTATGATATTCTTCCTTTTGTTAAATATTCTGTTTCAATTTCTAAATAACAGATTAACTACATATCAATTAAATAAGGGTCATTCTAAAAGGAAATACTGAAATTCGGTCTTACAAACGGTGTCAAGTCGACTGACTCTGCATCCTACTTGATGTTGAATGAAGTTTGTTTTTGTCATAGTCCAGTCATTATTGGTAACAGTATCGATCGAAATGCTAAAGCTGCGCTCAAATCAGAATTTCTTTAATGGTAAATATAGCTGTTTTAGACATGTTTTATCGACTAGTGAATAATTTTTGATAACCTTAAAAACAGGATTAGCGAAAAATAATATGTTCTTAAATATCTATGATAGCTTAGTGAATATCAAAAATATTATATATTATATATATATATATATATATATTATATATATATATATATATATATATATATATATATTATATAACCGGACAGTACCAGTAGTCGAACAAATGTTATATTATTGGTAAAATCTGGAATACTTGAAATCCTATACTTGCTGGTAATTGGTACCAGACTTGTCAACTAATTTGTGACAGCTTACAAAAATTTCACATCCACAGTTGTCATATTGACAACAGTGTTGGCGCGTTAAAACCAGCATGCCCTTTGATAGAAGCTGTCGAAACGTAGTCTATTCAACATATGTGATTCTATTTAACGATCGACGTATGAGAGGCGAATGGAGAATATATTTTTTAACAATAAGATCGCCGCAAGTATGCAACCTTTTACAGTAGACTTCAATTTACGGTTTTACAATTACAGTTAAAACAAATGTAGTTATTACTGGAGCGGTACACGCGGTTGATAACTTTCTTCCAGGTCATTGAAACTTCTGGAATTATATTATACTTAAACTACAGCAAAGTTCGTATAAACGAAACGATAATAAGCCAATTTAGAGTGAGAGTGGCCGTGAGCTTTTTGGAGTAACCAGGCCCTTCCAAATTAGGTGCTACCAGTGCAGCGCCGAGCACCGCTCGCAGCACAGTATTGCGGGGTGACTCCGTGAAGGTGGGGGAGGGATTAGGCAGCGACATACGTATCGCCAGAATGGTGTTGTGCTTACCGTAGCATCCTGCGAATAGAAATGACTCGGGAGCTGGTGGCATTGAGTATACCTTCATTGCGGATTCGACTAAATTTAGTAATAATATGTAGTTTTTAAGTAAATGAACAAGAAGAGCTCGGTACCCAGAAGTACCTGTCATACCGACTTAAAGATACAGCGTGACAAGAGAATTTCACCGTCATCACCGAATCCAATGAAGCCTACCAGGTTTGATGGATATTTTAGGCTCAACGTTATGACCGTTGCTATATGTATAGGTTATGGTAAAATCCTCCACGTTGTATCTTCAAGTCGATATGACAGGTACTTTCATCGGCATACCAAGCCCTTTTTGTTCATTTACTTAAAAACTACATATTATCACGTATCAAGTTTAGTCGAATCCGCGATAAGGTTTAATTTTGCCGGCTCCCAGCCCCAACGGAAAATTTGAATTGGTCTGATCGAGTCAACGCGCAGGTGATAAAATAATGTTCATAATTTCGACGTAAACACATTTATTCTTAAGATGATCTTTGACAGCGTTTCGATTCAACAAGTTTTCTAATAATTGGTACAGTGGTTTAAGCAGTTGAATTCTAAGTATCGCCTCTAAGGACACATCAGACAAAGACCTGTTTTTAGTTTTGTTCAAATTCATTAAAGCAAACATCTGCTCACAGAAGTACGTTCTACTGAACATGGAGCAAGTATCCAAGGCCACTGCAAGAATTTTGGGAAAATCTTGCAACTTAACACCTTGATAAAACGAAATTAAATTACTATTGTAGTGGTAGTATCTATCCTTAAGGATCGTCTCGCATTGAAGCTTAATCAGCTCCATTTGGAACTGCGGCGGTTCTGTTTCGGAAAGCACTGAAGATGGCGTCGTAAAAATCTGATTTGCATAAACATCTCAACGTCGTCAATGATTTAAAAAAAAATCTTTAGCACTTTTGCCCAGCTTAACCAGCGCGTAACACAATAAAAGGGTACGTCACCGTAACTTGCTTCCAGGTCTTTGAAAAATACTTCAAACTGCCGTGGTTGAGACCTTGCTTTCTGCAGAAATTGACACATGTTATTATTACATCCATAATAGATTTGAAATTACGGAAGGGTTTTGCAAATAGTTGTTGCTGATGTAATATTCAGTGAACCGATGATATCGGAGGTAGCCCAGCGTCGCGTACTTTTATTTTCATTCGCCCAGTGAAACCTTGTGCTTCCGACAATATTGCTGGCGCTCCATCAGTAACAACACTACGCAAACTCTTGAGTAGTGTACCCGTGTCATTCATTGTGTATTCTACAGCATCAAAAATATCTTCTCCGGCCATTGTATCTTTGAACGGGTTAACGTCTAGTAGTTCGTCGGTGATAGTAAAGACTATTTCGACACCTCTAATGGAAACAGCTGATTATGCTGTGTCAGAAATGTCTTTACTTTCATCGAGAGCTATAGAATACTGCACAAAATGGGCACATTTTCCCTCAGTTGTTCTTTTAAATCGGCACCAAGTTCAAGTATCCAACAAGAAATTGTTTGCTCAGACATACTAATTGTCCCAAAGTTGCTTACAGGAGATGGGCACAATATTTCTGCACACTCCACTAAGCATTCTTTGACAAGTGCACCGTCAGTAAACGGTCTCCCACTTTTTGCGATTTTCAAAGAAACAATATAACCTGCATTACTTGCATCAACTACGACCAAATTAATAATTACCTCTTCAGAACTTAGAATTAAACATTTTGCTTTTCCATCAGTATTTACAAAAAATAGGCTCCTTCCATGCACGATTGAATGACATCGTTTAAAAAAAGATAATAATAATAATAAAGTTTATTGGAAAAGAAAAAGTATAGCAGTAGTAGATGGAAGACAATATTATACAATAAACGAATGGACCCAAAAAAGTTTCGCAGAAACTTGTGCTTGGGCATGAGCTCAGGTATAAATAACTTAAGACTAAAAAAAAAAACATAAAAAAATATATGTATATAAAATTCATTAGACAAGTCCTGGTAAAATTTTTAAAAAGACACAATCGGGACGGAGACGCAAAATCGGGACATAGACGCAATCGGGATAGAGACAATATTGAAACAAAAGGCAATATTAGGTGAATAGACAAGAACAAAAATTGGTAAAAATAAGTCATAAAATGCAATAATTCAGGGGGTAAGAATTCAAATCAGTTTGATTTATACGTTTTTTTTTCATTTTGAACTTTCAAATATCTAGAGAGATTTCCGCTTTCAGTAGTAGTAGATATTTTTGATATCAATCGCTTGATGAATCTTGAGTCTGTGCTGGTCCAAAATCCACAGTCGTAGATGCCTTTTCATAACCTCTGTATTTTTAATATCTTTTATCTGAGGGGGGATTAAGTTATATATTTTTGGTCCTAGGAAAGTGAAACTCCTCTGACCTATGGTCTTTTTAGGCTTTGGTATGCGTACTGAATGATCTTTGGATCTGGTGTGATGGTCATGTGGGAGGAAATTTAATAAATGCTTATGTTTTGTAATATATGTGAACACACTCTCAAAATAGAGTTGCCTACAATCACATATCTTGGATACCTTATATATCATATCGGTTGGATAGGTGTTAGTTTTGCGGAACATGATTTTAAGAATCCATTTCTGAGTTATTTCTAGTTTCCTGTAGTATTTATTCATCACCGGTCCCCATGCCAAAATTCCATAAGTTAACAACGGTTGTACTAACGTTTTGTATATGGTGCATAAGTCTTTATCAGAAAGAATTTCCCTAAAAAATTTAAATTTTGGTATAAGACATCTTAATCTCTTCGTTAAGCTTTCTATTTGTTTGTCCCATTTTAGGTGGCTGTCTATTATGATTCCTAGGTATTTTATATGATTTGCTGGCTTTAGGATGCACGTTAAGACTCTAAGAAACCTGTCCACTTTGTCTTGTCCTATTAAGAAATGGCCCGCGCCCGATAGACAGTCGGCTAATATGTTTCTCTCTGTCGCGACGGCTGTGCGGTGAAGGTGGAGGAGGAACGGCACCGCTGCCGCTGGGTTCAGCACCGGAGCGCGCCAGTACCAAGTGCTCGAGTTGGAGAGGACTGGGCTAGAACGTAGTCAAAATGTTAAATCGTCTATAGCTCTTGTAGATCCTGAAATAATTTAGACAGTTTTGATTTCTGAAGGCTCCTTGCAATTGTAGTTTGGAGGGTCAACAATAAGAAAGATTGATTACCTACCCATATGATCTAAGAACTTAGCGCTTAATAATTTATAGTTCGGATTTGGCTGCTGGTAATGACTAGTAAGGGCAATTAGAGACGTAGAAAGAATCTGATATGACCACAGCATGGTGCTACTATTTGAAAACCTATACACTTTGATTGCTGACTGCCGGTATTTTCGGCCTTGTAAACGTTTCAATTCCAAAGCAATGCATTTCACCATATGGTGTAACAGGCATTTACATTTGCTTTGCATTTATAGGTGTTGACATATGGCCGAGTTGAAAGCGGTAGTAGAGTATCCATTAATCTAATTTCTAAGGTTGAAAGTTGTAGTGGTTTGTATTACTTTGACAGTTATTGTGTTTCGATAAAGAATGCTATTAACTTTCTCAGCATCAGGGCTGCAGAAAAATAGTGACAATACGGTAGAGCGGTAAAATATATGAAAAAATAAGCTATAGCATTTCTATGCACATGAAGAAGGTCCAAAATGTCGTTTTATCAAAACACAGGGTGTTCTCCAAGTAGTATAGGTTTAAGCTACTCATACAAGTTTTTCCTCAAATGCTGCCTCTATTTTTTCTCAAAAAACTAACGGTATGATAAACAATATTAGAGAATATGGAAAAATATATACCTTATTCAGAAATGAAATAGTTTTGACTTAGAAGCCAGAAAAGCAGAAATTATTTGTTCTTCTCCTGGAGTGATTAAGATGTCATCGTAGCGCTTGCAAAGTTATCTATGTGCTGATTGTATAATTTTATAAGGCACAACAAAAACGATTCACAGCTTTCGATTCCACACCAGTTTGAAAAGCTTTGAACCAGCATGATACTATTTGATCGTATTTTAAAATTCAACTTGTTTAAAGAAAACAATACATCACAATAACCAGTTAAAATGGCACATAGCGCAATTATGGGCCATTTATTGAGTGTCTCCCCAACTAACAAATATCACTCCTATTAGAGTTGCAAGAATGGTTATACAGTATTCCTTAAACAGCATTGTATACTGTAAAAACATTGGCAAAACCCTCTTAGAACAGCTATACAAGCGGAATGGGCACACCTAATAGGACACTTCAGTCATTTAAGAGGTTGTACAAGGGCTGCAGGTAACAGTTATAAAACAAAAGTGTAAGCCTCTTCCAGCCACTATAGGACATTTGCGTCAGTGCAAGATTCAGTTTTTGTCAACTATACAACTATTCTGTTACGTGATTCTACTTTATTGCAACCAAACTATTTCTTATGTATTGTCTAGACGAAGTGAAGAATATATAACTAACACATTACCGCCATCTTGTTTACTTACATATCGGCCATTGTGAATTTCATACGCAGGTATATGATGAACTTCTACACTTTGATATAGGGCTATTGAATTACTTGCGAAGCAAATTTTATTGTGATTATCGGGCAAATTAGTTACCCAATTTCTACGGGCTTCGTATTTGATTCATCCTTTGACAATGATCAAAAGTATGTCTAGATTTTTAAGATGGGAAACTGAACTTATCTGCGTTAAATCTTCCACAAATCCTATATTTAGACACAATTACACTAATGTTTATCACTTTATATCTGTAATTTCGAACTGAAACATAATTATTTAATATTAAGTAGAGGAATAACTGTTTGCCCAATATGAAGGGTGGTTGTGTACAATCGTGGCATCGTCTGTGTTGTCTTTAGGTTATTAGAATATTTTGGTGTTGCCTGCAGGTGTTATACAACAATTTGACAAATGTCTGAAACGAAATATCGACAGAGTCGAATGATTTACCCAGAATTTGTACCAGATCTATATCTTCTGTTTGAACAGTTGATAAAACCTTTTGAACCAATATGCATGCGTTGTTTGTCTTAAAACATTGGTCATGGCATTTTAACAAAAATATGACAGCAGAAAGTTAGGTTATGGTGAAGTTGTTTGCCAACATATTTAGAATATGTACAGCCTTTAACAGTTACTAAACAACAGTTGTATAAGTGCTTCCGTTGGGAGCAATTTGTTGGCCAAGGTAGTAAATTGCACAGCAAAACAACAAGGCTCGGGTTTGTTTTATAAACGTTACCATGGATGCCACAACACAACCATTTTGACTAACTTGCAAATATGCCGTATAAAATAGTTGTATAAACGTTTATGCAACAGTTAAAAATTTGCCCTATAAGGTGTTGTATAACTATGCCATAAGAATATTTTAAACACCTCATTTTAGAGCAAGTACAACATTAAGCTAGCATTTTGGTGTTCAGGCAACAATAATAGAGAGCTTTTACGGTTGAACGGTTCTTTTACCAAAAGCTTATACCACTACTTTGCTAGTTGGGTCATTATTGGCGCGGATAGCAGCCTTGGGAGCACCAAATGATACTTAGCAAGGCTCTGTTGTCGCAACGAGCGCTATTTGGTGCTTAAATCCAGCATACGGCACATTTCATAGAGCACATCTTACAATGTCAAAAGTTAATCTACGCATGACACATATGCATAGAAGTGAGTACGGAAAGTTCATATCTATTTTACGCAAAATATGCACATAGCTGATTGCGCCACGATTATATCGATCACGGAAATCTTCTCAAGGTGGCTGGTTTGTAACTGACTGGTTTGTATCTTGAATATTCGTGAAAAATACGTAAATTTTTATCATCTTAATCTCTAGGAGCCGCGCAAACCTAAGACCTCTTGATCACTTCTTGGTAAGTTTAGGGACAAATATTCCGTAATATCGATACGTATTTGCCAAAGTAACGTATGTCACCAAAAACGATTTCGGAGAAAAAACGTGTTTTTAATTTAACCTGGTTAGACTTTTTTAAATTGTGCAAAATTTGTTGTGTGTTTCTCTGAGGTCTATATTTAATTAAGAAAAATGATGTTTGAAGTTTTTCTATAGTTTTAGTGGTTAATTGATACTTACGTTACTTTACGGGTTCAGAAATCTCGAAGTCTTGATCAAAAATGTAACGTAAGTACACAGATACGTCAATTTGGCGGCAAACTGTAGCACTTAAAGTATTTTGGAAATAATTAAAAACTATCGTTTATTATTAAAAAAAAACACAAAATAACATTACAAAAGAAAATATGAAATTCTG